CCAAAGCCCCGACGTACCTGTAAGATTCTCCAGGCATTGCCCTCTCGCCTGTATTCCACGGCATATGACACCACTGTTGCCAGAGATGGCTGGGGTCGGTGCCAGCCAACTCAACATGACTCCCTCTTCAGTAACATTGGCTGTCAGGCCCTCGGGTGGGAGGGGCTTGTAGGGGTCTACATAGCCAGGCTCTGAAGGGAAATGAATTGTGTAGATATGTTGAGTGCATTGTTGAAGACAGTAGGCAAACAACATTTAAAAAAAAGACCCCCAAAATGACAAAAAAAGACAAAAAGAGTTGGCAGGCTAATACTGCTTTGCAACCCTCCCAGTACCTGAGACTGAACTATTGGGAATTACACTATCTCGCACACATACATACACATACAAACACACCCATAGACAAACTATTAGGTGCAGTAATGAAAAAAAGGTTATCAATAAAATAACGTCCTCTGGAGTGAAGTTACTACTGTAATGAAAAAAATAAAAGTTTTCCACTACTAAAAATCAGCATGGCCTCAGACTGGCTGATGTCTGCATTAGATACTGACATAACAATAAAACTTCATAAATCTGACATCTTACAGTTACTATACATACCTTGCGTGGCTCTAACAACAATCGTGGTGAACATGCTGTCTCCTAGTCTGTTCCTGGCCATGACACTGAACTCGTACATGGTAGAAGACATCAGGTTGTACACGGTGTATCTGTTGACGTTGCTGTTGACCTGTAGGGTGTTCCAGTCTCTGGCAGTCACTGCTCGATACCACAGGATGAAGGTCTGCTCACTCCCACCGTCGTAGGACGGCTGCCAGGTGACGTGGGCGGAGTTACTGCTGGTGGCCACAGACAGGCCGGTCGGAACATGGGGCGAGGTACCTGTGGAGAAGTCAACAAATTATGTTTAACTGCTATCCATACACTAGTGGGATCACATTTGTTGTGCATGTATGATGTTGCTGCCTCCATGAAAGGTACTGTTTTTCATCCATTCGTCTGTCTGTGTATACAGCATGTATGACAAGTGATTGGTTTGAAAGCCTTTGAATTGTAAAAAGAATGCAGAATATCATTCATATAAGACCATCAAGATGAGAGTGTGCATTACCCAATATTGGTGTATTTCACACCTAAAAGAATATTCTGTCAAAAGAAGCTAATGATTACGCAGTCTGAAAGCTTCAGTTGGCATACCTTGAATGAAGACGTGGCTTGTGACAGAGATGGTAGTGACCTCATTCTGTGCCAGGCATTCATACACACCATAGTCCTCTTTTGTTACCTCCCACAGAGACAGGTTTCCTCCAGCGATATCATACAGCTCATCATCCAGATCAATCCCATCCTACAGACAACAAAAAAATTGTTGTACCAGTAATGTCTCAATGTGCTACATATGGTCTCAATGACTGGTGCAGATATCAGAGTTTTGAATGACAAGAAACTGAATCCATCTTCGACATTCTCCTGCCTTCCAAGATGTGTATTGGCCTTACTGCTCATTTGAGAAACTTGAAAAGGACTGGGAGCAGTTTTACACTCACTCTGACAGTAGATTGAAGTATGTTGTAATTAAAAAAGGAAATACCTTTCTCCATGAGACAAACGGCATTGGCTCTCCAGTTGCAGCACACACCATGGTGATATCCCCACCGACTGTGATGTAGTAGGACGACTCTGGCTGCACCGTGAACTCTGGTGGGTCTGGGGACAACAGTGAAGACTGTAAAATCCTGGACTTTTTGGATTTAACTCTACTGGCTGCTAGGAGGAATTATGTATCTGTACTAACACACCAGTAATATGTGTACTTGCACAGCTTTAACACCTGCACCATACAAATGTGCTAAAATACCTGCATTAACACCTGTATTGACAAATTATCTATCGGTAACACCTGTAGCAAACACCTGTACTGATACACCTGTAACATACACCTGTTTGGACACACCTGTAACAGCCACCTGTACATACGGTGACTCCCCTCCGGATCCCAGCACATTCCTGGGGATACAGCTGTACAGGCCTGCAGACATGTCCGTCACACCCGTGATGACCAAGGTGCCGTCTCGGTCAGTTGACAGGGACGGCTCACCCGCAACGTCCAGCACACGACCGTTCTGACAGTGGGAGGAGAAAAATGTTATTCACATGCAAGCTGTCAATGTTCTGCTAGCAATACATGACTAAAATTCTTCATTCTACCTCTTTGTAGGCTCCCAATTCAATATTACAAGAGGATAAAAATATCAAACAAAATCTTAGAAACAATATAGGACAAGGGAAATGGTACCTTCTTCCACAGGATAGTGTGTATGGGAGGGTCAGCATCATGAGGGCAGCGGATACGGCCCACTCCCCCTCTTGGGATCAGCTGGGTGGCCGGCATTGGCAGCAACTGGGGAGGATCTGTGTCAAAAAATGTAACAGTTGTTACAAGAAGAATTCAGACTACCAAACCTGCTTATGTTACAACATGCATAAATGCAGAAAATGTATCTAGTACCAAATTGAACATGTTCACGTTTAAATTGAAGGATACAATGTTATCTGGTCCATAACTCAAGTTAACGCTGAATCAGAGAACATGTTCTTATAACTTTTCTAGTGATAACCCTGAACTCAAATACGATAAGATTTGCCCATATACTGTAAGTTTAACAGATCTTGAGAACAATAACTTACACTGAACCCTGAGATATGCCGTAGCTCTCGGTGCCACACCTATCCCATTGGTGGGACTGCACGTGTACATCCCGACATCGCTGCGCCGTAACCTCCTGATGATCAGCGTCCCGTCTCCCAGCACGTTGACGCGGGAGTACAGCGAGGTGTAGTAGAAGACGTTGATGCCGTCCCGTAGCCAGCGCATGGTCATGTTGGCAGGGAAGGCCTCCGCTTGGCATTCAAAGGCAACTTCTGAACCCACCACCCCTGTGGTGTTCTGGGGAGGCACCATGATGACAGGAGGACCTGAGACAAAGAAGCCATTATCAATAGACTTAACATTTAGCCATAACTTTTGGACTTGTGGACATGAAAGTCTTTTCTTTGAGACTGTCAAGGTATCTTAGAAAGTCTTTTTTAAATTCTATGCAACATGAATGAAGATTAACTTGGTACCAGGATGAGAATTTCCAACATTGCTGTTGTAAGCAACCTTACTTGATATGCATGACATGATATTTATGAAATAATAATTTTACAAAAAAATCTAAACGCATGCAAAGTTGCCTATAAACTAAGTAAATATTTCACACACAATAAAGAAGACTGAACGTACCAAATATGACCATCCTCATGGTGTGCTGTAGGTCCCCAGCCTCACTCTGTGCCGTACAGGTGTACACACCTGCATCTTCCCTCACCAGCGACACAATCGTCAGGCTGGTCTCAGTTAGTCTATACTTAACAGTCGGCATGATGGGCTGGTCTCCCTTCTTCCATCGCACCTGCAAATAAAAGGGAAACAACTGTTAACTCCACTGGGCAAGTAAGGAAGGAAGATGCCAATTTCAAAGTGATTCATCATCCAACTAGTCACTTGAATTTTAGGAGTCCTGAATGACCTAAAATAGATTTCAGAAACTTGGTTCTAATTTTAAGCACTGTGATTATCAATGAAGTCAAAATGATTAATTCCATTAACTTGGTTGTCCAATCAAAGAATTTAGGAACCTTGAATGAAGACGAATACACATCTTCTACAGAACTGAGTAGTTTGTGTACCTGTGGTGGAGGGTGCCCTGCTGCAACACAGAAGAGCCTCCCGGTGTCCCCCTGGTTGTACTGCAGCAGGGCTGGAGACTTGTCCAGGAAGGTGGGACGAGCTGGAACAGAGGAACAACCTTTTAGACTATCTGCTGTCTTCAGGTCAAAACAATACACTGATTAACTGAATATATTTAAAATATACTGTATATATTTATAAACACTCTTGGATTCTTGCTGAGTGTGCCTACAATTCATGACATTTTGAAAAATTCAACATCCTATTTGTTGGAAAGATTTTCTTTGTCTTGATGTGTTTCCTTCATACTCCTTTGTACAGCCCGCCCCCTCTCGATATGGTATTACCTGGGATTTGGTGACCTTATCTTATCAATATGCAAATAGTACAGTGTCATAGTGTGAGAAAATGCAGCAACAAGGAGCATCACTTCTTTTTGGGCTGGTGCTTTCAAATTGGCACATCAATACACCATGCCTTCACACCTTCTTGAGTAAACTTGAAGTTCAGTTAAATACCATACAACATGGTTAAACATTCAATTTAATATGGGTGTGATGAACGATATTTGTAATTTGGATGGAGAAGATTATCAACAGATGTGATTTATGCAGATGAGGGCCTTATTTACATTTATCTAACAAGAAAACTCTATATGGCATTAGCAGTAAATAATGGAGGTTCAAACAGAATCTGATTACTTAGGTATGAGGTTATAGGATCATAAATTATGTAATTTGGGGCATACAGTGCCGATCAAGGTGTTTGCTTAACACCTTTCTTACTAAGACCTCTCTTCTTCTATCTGTTAGTGTTACTTAGCTATGTGTACTGAGATGCAGATTTTCTCCCTGAGAGCCAGGTGCTATCATTGAATCAGATGTTTATCTTCCAGTTTAGCATGATTCTGTTTCAGTCAAAGAACCAACATGGCCTAGGATATTATTCATTAAAAAGCCTGACAAAAGATAATTGTTTTTCATTCACAATTTTGTGTTAACTTGTCTACTAGGAGGAGATTCCACACCACAGCTGTGCTACATCTGCCCAGTGGCACATACAAACAAGCAGATCTTGCTTGTCTGTAAATTACCGGCTAAAGAAGTCTGATCCCCATTAGGCATCCGGTTTAACCTTTGCAGACCTTCACTTTGAACTGAGTCATGACCCTGTAGACAGAGGTTGATGGTACAATCCTGCAGAATCTTTCGAGTTCCCTTCAAGTGAAATATAAATTCCTCTCAGGCGAAATGTTGCAAGTAGTAACAAGTCTAACCCGTATTATGATTGTACTCTACAATGTCCTTGGTCAGGAGAGGACTATAGTTAACACACCTCTAATTGTGGAGAACATGGTAACAGTACCCGGAGCTTACTAGTACTTGTAGAGAGCTGATGAAAAATTTCTAAGAGCTCAAATACATATAGAGAAGAATGCCTCATGTCCTTGCATGTACATACCTGCAGCAATATTCAAACTTGGTACATCTGTCCCAAACATCACAGCAGCTGAAGTCTGACCAATGTCAAAACTGATGAGAAGCCACAAATACCACCAACACACACTCTCCATAATCCAAACACTGTGAGTCCCTATAATTCTCCTTCACTACGTGTACATGGAAACATCCTTTTCTAACTGCTCTGGGTTTCAAGGACTCTCTCAGCCTGTGGACTAAGGGCACTGGGCCACTTCCCAAACATCAGACGTTATTCAAATGAGGTGTCAACAATGGGAAGGGGCGTTTGCATATGAAAAGCCACTGGAAACTAGGAAATTAGTGTTTTGTGTTATGATGGCGTGAACAAAAAATTAGTTACCAGGCTAACGAGTTTTCTCCTCCTCCTGTTTCTCACACCTAATCTAATGCACTATGACTCCTGCTACATGTGTATTAAAAAATAATTAGCGTCAGGTGACTTAACAGTTATTCCAAATTGTTATTTTTTGAAAATAACAGTTGTATTTCAAAGAAAGTTACAAGCCAATCGTGTGCAGGATTATAATAAGGGCTTAGCCAGTGTTTTTAAACTTTCAGCATAGTAAGTCACAGTGCTAACATAGATGTATTCTGTTGAATTCTATGTCAACTGATGGATAAAAGTTGATATAAATAACCTTTGATTCATTATACAAAAATATCAACGTTGATGAATGTTATCCAGACAAATATTAAATACCGGGTATCATTAATGGATCAAATTGCCTGTTTCCTTTTTACGTTCCACAGATAATTTTTTTCCATCTCCTGCCATCACTTCTGCTAAAGTGCATTGCCTTTACCCGTCACTAGGTGTCTCTGCTGTAAATATAAACAGCAGGAAAATAGCTCATTGGATTCTGCAAGTCTGCAAGCTGTAGAGGACATTTTCAGCAGCAGTCAGTTTGGGTTTTGGAGAAGAGACTTGGGCATTGTCACAACAGCTCATGGGAAAATATGATCCTAAGTAGGTGAATGGCCTGTGCTGCCCATCCCTGTGGTCAGAAAAAGATCCTGCTCACATTTCTGACATTGATATCATATCAATCTCATCTCTTTACCTGAGTTTTATGGATTGATGCGATACCATTCAGGTTTTGGACAATGAAGTCATTTTCATATCTGGGTTAAGAAGGACTTTCTTCAATCAGTCAGATATAAGGTATCTCATGGTCTCTCGATTGTAATATGTAAAATGCTTTTCATGTGGTAAAAGTGAACTGCAAAGGCCTCAATAAAAATGCCACCCATACCCCAACTAGCCTAACTTGATACCGTTACTGCATGAACTGTTTTATGAAATACTGACCCTTTAACCCTCTTCCGTAAAATAAGGGCTATTGAGAAATGGAAGGATATTACTAGTATCAAATGGACTGCAACACTGACAGAGTTTAAGTCAAAACTGACAAAGAAGGCCACTCTGATTTATGTGAACAGGTGGTCCTTTTAGATTCTTAGGATTCTTAATGCTTGTGTCAATAACGTAAGGAACTAACAATTTCCAAAGAAAGTGGTTACATTGATCAGCTGGTCGTTATGTAGAGGTGGTCACTCGTACTGGTTTGACTGAAATCCACCTGTTTTCTCCTGCCCCTCCCCCAACAATCAGACAATGTCTCTCTCTTCCCCTAGTATCTCTCCCCTACATGCTCCACTGCTATTCTGCAAAGACACTCTATTGAAGCCACGTTCCACCCAGCTTGGTGAAAGGGAGTCCACACACCCTATCCCCTCCCACCATGTCAGGTGATCCTATCTCTTAAGTGGGGAAACTTAAGCACCTCTGACCTCTTAAGTTGTTAAGACATCTTTTATTAGTTTAAGGAGTCTAAATGGGTTGTCAAGAGAAACTGGCTTCTTGGAAGGAAGCAGATTTCCTGTGCGGTTGCCCAACATCAACAATTCTGAACGGTGAACCAATAGATTAAAGAGCACACAGCTGCCCATGGTATACTTTTAGCTAGTGCAAGGCAGAAAGCTGTTGAAAAAGTTTTGAAGGTTTGAGTTCAAATCATGTATAATCTGCTCTAAAATGACACTAACAAAAAACATAAAAAGGAGTGTGTTACTGTTGAAAACCTTTTTTCATCATTTAGAGCTAGCAAGAAGGAAGACTTAAAAAAAGGAACAACCTATCTTTAGATAAAATGGTTAGCCACAATAGTAGATACTAACATTAGTAATAAGAGCAAGGATTGATGAGAATTACTACTCAGTATTACTAATAATAAGATATGGTCAAACCTAAATTGACTAAGAAAGTGAGCAAAACCTGGGACCAGCTGGCTACCATGACTTTACAGTCATGACAGTACTGTTACTTTTTAGTGGTCCCTTAGAATTAGATCATTTTCCCAACTGACCAAAGCATTAAGTCACTATAGACAGTGAAGTTCGACTATACTATATTTACAAAGACCATACAGAGTTTCTTCTTCCAAACGCCTAACATTTGTCATAATTAAAAGTCTAATGGCAGGACAGGAGCATAATGACATCTCTACAGTTCACTGGAGTGGACCTAATGGTACAAATGTAACACTATACCAGAAATGCAGCTTGGTCACCTGGCTTGCCCTTTCAAAATTGCTCAGGCCAGAACAAGTTGATTTGTTGGTTGTTTTTAACCCAGACATTTATATTTATTCTTTTCTAGTTTGCTGTCCTCTTGCCTATAGCAATTTTTTTACAACTAAATGTCACAGAACCAATGTAATAAATTAGTGTGGCCTAAAAGTACACTCAGTGAGTAGCATATATTCTGAGTAAAGAATTTTCAATGTCTTAGCAAAGAAAGTGTTATTTTGATATAAACAACATACAGGAACATTTGTATGTCAGATTGTTTTGGCCAGCAATTCTGAGTGAAAACAAATGCCTTAGGTATAGATTACTTCAATTTGTACCTTAAATCACTGTTCTAATTAACTGCCTGGCATTCAAAGACGATGCTTTCTGGAAAGTTCTGGGTTTCGTCCACCATGTTGGATTAATGGATGGTGTTGACAGACTTTTTACACAATGACCAAGAACAGGCCAGACAAATTGACCTAGTAATACTGTTGTTTGAGGGCATTTTGGTCAGACTGGTCAAAGGTAATTTTGAGGTACAAAGAAAACTATGGCCTACCATACACCTTGAGATGTACCCATGTCCCATTTTTCTGGGCGTTGTCCACACGGTCGAGAAACACAACCTTGCACTCGTACCACCCCGCATCCTCCGCCAGCACGTTGTCGATCTGTAAGGAAGCTTCTTGGAACAGGCTGACTCGACCTTGGAACTGCGGGTCGATGTGGGGAGGGTAGCCGTTGAACAGAATGAAGACGGGGATGGCCACGCCCTGCTTCTGCCACTCAATGACGAATGGGAGGACACCGTTGGGGTACTGGACGTCGCAGGGCAGAACGGCGCTCTCACCGTAACGAGCAATGACTTCTCTTGGTGGGAGGGCAACTGTGGTTGGAGAAAAGGAAAATGCTTGTTATTGGGAAGTTCTTTATAAAATATGGGTCAAGTATCGAGTATGGATTCCACAGTCTGGAAATGAAATAAAATGAGACAAGAATTTGGTGCAAAGTAGTAATGTTCATGGCCATTGGCAACAATCCTGCTTTACAGTAATTTGAAAGATTACCGGTATTCTTTGTATTAATAATTTTTATAAAGGCATGGATCTATAAAAGGCCTTGCATGCACCTTCTCCAGGTCCTCAAAACTACTAATACTACTTCGCTGTAATGGAACTGTTACAGTTAGTTATAGGCAGACCAGAAATTGTCTGAATTTCTCTCCGGTAACTAGTGGGCTGACTTGCATTATGCTAGCTACGAGATTGCTGGGCCCTAGATATCATGCCAGGTGGTCTTATGCCATTATGGTATTATGGTAAAGTGCCTTTGTTCCCAAAAAGAGCGGAAACATTCATACCACTAATGTTGATCCTAATTGCTTTGGTTCTACCAAGCTGAAAATGGCCAAACAGGGTGAATAAATTGCCCAGAGAATTTAGTCAACCAGAAAATGTCCAGCTGGGTACCCGAGGTCTTAGCGTAGCCAGCAGAATTACATTTAAGTTGACGTTAATCTTATCCTGAATTGCATGACGTACAGATCTCTGACCTGAGGATTTTAATGCATGTTCTATTGCTTGATTTTGACACATTGTAACTCTTAACACGTGAACAAATTCCGTGATGTTGACTTTCGGATCTAGCCATGGCCATATTGAATGAAGCATTATGGGAAACTAAACTATTACTAAGTCACTTCTGATTGGACCACACTCTCTGCACATTGTTCTGGGGTTCGACAAGGTCAATTGGATTGATCATGCAGCGTTTCTAGT